TAGCAGTCAAAACATTCAAAGAAAACGCAATAATACACAGAATCCAAACTCTCTGTGAATTTTCCATTTTTTACATGCTTATTTTTCTTCTTTTAATCTATGAGTATTTGTACGCTGTCTTTTTAAAGACTTTAGCCTTTTTTTAGCATTAACTTTATATTATGACTTTTTAATACTCTTTTTCTTCTCTCTCCCAAGCCTACATATGTCTATCTACCACTATGACCCATTTAGAGGTCTTTTATGTCTGAATCTGTCCTATTGCATTGTCTTTAATTTCTACTGTCTTGAAGAGCTTTTAAAATGCTAAACTCTTAAGAATCTAAGCTGAGACAATCCCAGGTCAAATACAGGTAGTGCCTGCTTGCCCCGCCCAGTCCAACATGGTGGAGCTGCTTGTGCCTCAGAGCCATTTGGTGCCCCTGAGCTGCGCACAGTTACGGGCACACAGCAGTCCACATTGCCATCAAGCAAGCCTTAGCACTTTACTCACAAAACCCCATTCAAATGCCCTGTCTCCCGCAGGAGCCAGAGGTCGCTATGGCGGCACAGCCCAGAAACTGGTATTTCAAAACTGCCACTTTCTAGTAGACTTGATCCTGCCGCCTACCCAGGCAGGAAGAGCTGAGCCACAGACATGGTCTCAGCTACTTTGTTTCTGATCCCAAGTGGGCCCAGAAATGCTCCATAGCTGGAGTTTGCACCTGTGGCAAAGCCCAGGAAGCCTTGTTTTAAAATGACGCGGCTTTTTTTTTTTTTTAGATATGGCTGCTGAGTCAGGAAAAACTACTAGCAAACAGCAGAAAGCTGTGTTAAACTCTCTCTCTGTGTGTGTGTGTGTGTGTGTGTGTATGTGTGTGTGTGTGTGTGTGTCTAGAATTCCTTTTTAAGCCCTCTTGGGTTTTACGTGGAGTTAGTTACCGCATTGGAGCACCAGTTTGTAGTATGGAGAGGAGCGGGCTGCGTCCCGCTACCTGACTAGCTTTTATCCGAAATATTATAGGTCAATAGTTGTTCATGTTTGTTAAACATACAGTCAGATCTGTTAGGTTCTTTAGATACATAGAGATCGTATTCTGTCTTGATAGGTAATCTTCAACCACTTCAAGGATCTGTAGAACATGGCATTTAAATAATTAAGGGTTCTGTTGACTTGAGACATGATTGTTCCTGACAGCATCAATCTACCCCTGAGAGGATGTTGAGCACTGAAGATACTCCACTCAGAGTTTGATTTCTTCTTGGCACTATTGACCTTAAGAACTACTCATCCCTCAACCACTGACAAAGTACATGATATCCAGAAATAGATAAGCAGGACATAAGGAAAAAGACTGTCAAATTTTGCCAAGACAGGGTAAGATGGTCCTGAAAAATTTCCTGCCTCAGAAAATGGTTTGTCAGTTGCGCTAGACCTTATCCAAAGTTGGTTGCTTCAACTTTGCAAAATGAGACTTTGGGTGATTACTCAGGTAGCTAATTGTCTCTATCATATATTGCTCGCTTTGGAAGCTGCTTGATTGTACTTCCTGACTGCTCAAGTAATACTATCTCCCTTCTCAGGCCTTTGATGGGGTTGAAGATTACATAGTTGGAGTTACTGTCCTCTTATGATCTAGCCAAGCCATTTCCTATACAAGACTTAGGCTCCTTTAGGATAGGATGTTTATTAAAACATTTAGCATACGTTCCTTGCTTAATATTGCTTATGCTGTTTGTAATTATATTTGATATCTATTCCTAGTGTATATAGTTTTGTATTGGGTTTGGAACCTTCTTATTTAAACAAAAGGGGAAGGTGCTATGGGAACACATTCTGCTCCTTCAGCCAATAGCCTTTAAGATACCAGCCCACTTGGGCATGGTCTCTTTTGCTTTAAAAAGCCACAGTAGCCATACGCTTGCTCTCTTGCTTCTGGCTTCCACTTCTGGCTCCTAGACTCTGTTCCTGTTCGTACAGAGGGCTGTTGTCTAGGACAGTGATCTGTAAGTTTTTCCCTTAAATAAATAACCCTTTTGTTATTCATAATTCTGAACTGGTGTGGGATTATTTTGTGATTTCCATCTTCATATGTTACGTGGCCTTTTTCCTTTGCAGCTTTTAATAGTCTTTGTTTATTCTGTATGTTTAATGTTTTGGCGAGGGGACTTTTTTCCCCCTCTTCTCCAGTCTGTTTGGTGTTCTATAAGCTTCTTTACTTTCGTAGTCATATCTGTCTTTAGGCTGGGAAAGTTTTTTTTCTGAGTTTATTGAATATATTTTCTCTGCCTTTGAGATGGAGTTCTTCTTCTTCTATCCTTATTCTTAGGTTTGATCTTTTCATGGTGTCCCAGCTTTCCTGGATGTTTTGTGGTAAGAATTTGTTGGATTTAATGTATTCTTTGACCTATGAATCTATTTCCTCTATCTTTTCTTCAGTGCCTGAGATCCTCTCTTCCATCTCTTGTAATCTGTTGGTTATGCTTGCATCTATATTTCCTGTTCATTTGCCCTGATTTTCCATTTTCAGAATTACCTTTGTTTGTGTTTTCTTTATTGCCTTTATTTAAATTTTCAAGTCTTGAACTGTTTGTATCACCTGTTTGATAGTTTACTTGGGTTTCTTTAAGGGACTTATTGATTTCTTCCAATTTTTTTCTTTCCTCCATTTCTTTAAGGAAAATTTTCATTCCTCTTTAAGGACTTCTATCATCTTCACAAAGTTATATTTAAGGTTATTTCTTCTTCTTTTGGGTTAGGATGTTCAGGTGTTCCTAGGTTATTGAATGTATTCTTGCTTTGGTGTCTGCCCATCTCTTTCTCTGATTGGTGCCAGCTTTGTCTTTGCCTCTTGGTTCAATCCTTGCCGTAGGTGTCCGTGTCTCAGGGATCCCTTCTTGGACTAATTTTTACAGTTGCTGTCTGTGCCTCAGATCCTCCGAGGTTGAGGGGGACGCATGGGTTTTGGGGAGGAGTGGAATTTCTAGATTCTGGGTCTCAAAGATGAGGGGCGGGGGTTGAAGCAGCCTATCTGCAGGGGACTTGCCTGCTGACTGGCTAGTGAAGCTGTGGCAGGTAGGGGAGGGGCCTGGCGTTTTGCTCAGAGACCTAGAGTCTAGAGACTGGGGTGTCCTCGTGGGGAGCTGGTCATTCATCTCTTGGTCCATTCTGTGTAGTAGCAGTCTGTACATTAGAGATCCTCTCAGGTCACAGAGGGGGATGGGTGTGTTTGGGGACTGAGTGCAACTTGTAGATTACAGGGTCCAACTTTTGTTAGAGTAGCAGGTAGGTGCCTGCTGGCTGGCTAGTGAATCTGAGGCAGGTGGGGGTGGGGCCCATGGTTTTGCCCTCGGAACTAGGGCTTAGAGACTGGGCTGTTCAGCTGGAGAGGTGATCACTCACCTGTTGGTCATCTCTGTGCACCCTGACCAGACCTTTACTGAGCTAAACTACTTTAAAGTAGTATAAAGAAATGGCAAAGTACTGATTGCAAAAGAATTAATTTTGTGACCTAATTTTATAAGTCTGACAAGCCTATCCACTCCCTCAGTTTTACCACCAAATTTCCTCCTGTTCCCTGGACAACTGCAGCCTTTTCTTGTACACTCATTCAGCTTGGGTTAAAGTTTATCCCTCAGCAGCGTCAGAGCACAGCATCTAGAGTTAAGCAGATGTGTAGCAGTTCACTGACTGACCTTTGGCCTTGTTGAACATTGTCTTCCCTAACTTCTAAGTCATTGTTCCAATTTTGCAAGATTTTTGCACTACACCACACGCTGATGAATTTATACTTACCTAATTTAGAAATGAATATTTCCACTCACTCTAGCCTGTCTCATGGTTCAATCAAATTACATTCTTCATAGTATGTGGCTCAAGGTAAATAAGGCCTGCTTACTCTTGTTTGTAGACACAGAGGGAATTCATAACACTGTCACTACCCCTGCATGTTTTCCTCTTGCTAAGAACCCAGAGGAGGAGTCAGTCACTCAGGACTTCTGAAAGCCAGTATAAGCAGTCTGTGGTCCATGGCCTGATAATGGCATATGCTATGTCCAGGGATTGGCTCTTGCTAGGCCCCATCTCTGTTGTTTGTTCTCATAATCAAACTTGAGAAGTAGAGTGGGATCTAGGAACCTTGGAAACCATACCCTCTCCCCCACACCCTCCTTGAGACTACATCCTACTTAGCTCCATTGGTTCCACTTCTTTCAGCCAGAGGACAGCATGACTGGACTGAATTCTTTGTGACTCAGAAACGTTCTGTGCATCAGGTCTTCTCAGTCACCAGTACAAAGTCTCCTATGATCCACTGTACCACTAAATCAAAACTATGTGCGGCCTTGTGTGCTCTTCTTTTGAAAGCTCCCTTGTGGCCAAAAACAGCACTAGCTTCCTTTGCAAAGATTTATTTTATTTTAGCTGCAACAATACATTCGTCACTTACTTTTTAAGTAGGTTTCTCTTTGAATTTTCAATTTCTTTTCCTGTATGTAGGCCCTACCTGTGGAGAACTATGACCACAGTGTGCACCTGGGAGAGAACAGGAAACTGGTTCTTGCGTATAAAAGTCATCTGGCTAGGGCTCAAATGTGATGCAACAAGAAGAGATGGATTTTGTAGTCTGAGTCTAGATTTCTAGCAGAATGGTGGCAATGATAATACTGTTTTTAAAAGGCAAGAAGGGCTCTTTTTGTACTTTGATGTTTCATATGCCAGGGAATACTCACTTGGGTGGTGGGAGGCAATGAAGGCTCTTGTGGTATTTGTGGGTCCCAAACCCTTTCCCTCCAAGTTCTTAGAACGTGGCAGGTAAGGTACCATGTATATCAACTTTCCTTTTCTGAGGTTGTGTTAGAAAGCATTAGAGCAAAGTGTTTTAAAAAGGCATTATAAAAACATAGGACTATAAGATTTCTACATAACCTATGGATTGTGTGTGTGTGTGTGTGTGTGTGTGTGTGTGTGTGTGTGTGATTGTCAGGAGTCATTAAGTCATGTGTGTGTTTTTCTCTCTCAGGTTCATTTTCCAGACACTGAAAGAGCAGAATGGCTAAATAAGGTAAGATTAACATACTCCAAATATTCATTGGGAATTAGAGGGCCAGAGACTATCTTCCCATGTTTGGTAATTTCAGTGTTGGTAGTATTGAAGTTCAGATTGCAGTGTGCAGGCTTCTGCTCCCCAGAGGACTGTTGCAAGTAGTATGTGACTTTCCCTTGGGAAGAACAAGAGCTGTGTCACTGACCTAAGAAGATTTATGCATATACTTGCATGGCATTGCCATCTGACATAGTGTCTGCGTTCTTAAATAGAGTCTGCTAACATCTGCTTTATAGAAATCACAAGTACACATTCTAGAAATATTATAAAGAGAAAAATTAACTCCCAAGAAACTACCCATCTATAATACCTTTTAATGGATGTTTTTGTTTCAGTAAGCTTTAGGCTGAGTCTCTGTTGCCTGGTATTTTGAGCATCTCTAAGGCAATATAGTGACATTAGTCTAGACAGGAATCACCTATAGCACAAGTTAATTTGTGGTTATAAAATGCATAAGTGGTTACTGAGGTCCACACACAGTTTTTTTTGAGTTTGGTTTAGTTTTGTTATGATGTTGAGATCAAATCAAGGGCCTCACCCAAAAGAAGCAAATGAGCCACTGAACTACCCTCCCAGCCTAAGAGCTATAAGTTAAGTTTCTGGTTTTGGTTTTGGTATTAGTTTGTTTTTGTTTCTCTGTGTAGCCCTGGCAGTCCTGGAACTCACTCTGTAGACCAGGCTGGCCTCATACTCAGAGATCAGTATAATTCTGCCTTCTGAGTGTTGGGGATTAAAGGCTTGTGCCACCACCACCTGGCCATAGCATAAGTCTTCCCACAGTCAGTTGAAGTCATGGGACTTTTAGTGATTACTAGATATGTAGGCATGTTTAAACAGAATAGCTAACTAAAAGAACTAATGCCACTAGTATTTTGTCAGTAGTTTATTGTTGAAATAAATGCTTAGCACTGAGAACACATTTGAGAGGACTGCCTCTCCCTTTTGTTCTAGTTTTCAAAGCCAGTTTCTGAGAGACGACCTGAGTATCATTTCCTTAGTGACTCTAATAAATTATGTATCATACATCATAGCAATTATTTAACGTGAGTTTCTTTTCCTTCTAGACTGTAAAGCACATGTGGCCCTTTATTTGTCAATTTATAGAGAAGCTCTTTCGAGAAACCATAGAACCAGCTGTGCGGGGAGCAAATGCCCACCTCAGCACCTTCAGCTTCACAAAAGTGGACGTGGGTCAGCAGGTCAGTTCCTCTGTTCTTTAGTGCCCTTTCTCAAGCACACAGTGGGATGCTGTGAAAGCACAGCAACAGTGTGAGCACTGTACAGGCTTAAGTCTGCAGGGGCCTAGGTTCTTCTTCCCAGTGGCAGGTTCTGCCTTTCCTACTTGTGGCCTCGCTCTCACTGTGCTGTTCTTTATATTTTGTTTACTTTTTTAAATTAATTTTTATTTTTGTTTATGTGTGTATATGTGTCCCTGTGGGAGAATATGCCATACATGCATTCATGGAGGCCAGAAGATGGTATCAGTGCCTCTGGAGATGGAGGTACAGGTGTTATGATGTGGGTGTTGGGAACCAAATTTAAGCCCTCTGGAAGATCAGCACGTGCTCTTATCCCCTGAGTCATTTCTCTAGCCCGGTTTTTGACTTTTTTTTTTCTGACAAGTAAGGGATACTAGCTTTAATAAATATCAGTCTAAATATTGATAAAGTTGGGGGCACACACCTTTAATCCCAGCACTTAGAAGGCAGAGACAGGCGGATCTCTGTGAGTTCAAAGTCAGCCTGGTCTACAGAGCAAGTTCTAGGACAGCCAGCAGTACAGAGACACACATGCAGGCAAAACCTCTATACATAGAAAACAAATATCAATTTGCTTAACAATGATTTTTACCTCTCCAGATTTCATTGTATTTTATCATTAATATTTGTAAAAGTTTTAGTTGTATATTATTTAATAAATATTTTTCTTTTTTCTTTTTTTAAATTTTTATTGCTTTATAAATGATACCATTCAAAATTTCCATTTCCTCCCCTCCTCCCATTTCCCTCCCACTTACTTACCCTCCCCCATCCCCTCCAGTCCTAAGAGAGGGCAGGGTATCCTGCCCTATGGGAAGTCCAAGGCTCTCCCCCCCCTCCATCCAGGCCTAGGCAGCTGTGCATCCAAACAGACTAGGATCCCAAAAGGCCAGTACATGCAGTAGAGACAAATCCCAGTGCCATTATCATTGACTTCTCAGTCAGCCCCCACTGTCAGCCACATTCAGAGAGTCCCAGTACAGCTGGCTTTGGTAGGCTCCCATTAGAACAGGCACACAGTCTCAGTGGGTGGACCAACCCCTCGTGGTCCTGACTTACTTGCTCATCTTCTCCCTCCTTCTGCTCTTCAACTGGGCCTTGTAGTCCAGTGTTCTGATGTGGGTCTCTGTCTCTATCTCCATCCTTGCCAGATGAAGGTTCTATGGTGATATGCAAGATATTCATCAGTATGGCTATGGGATAAGGCCAGTTCAGGTACCCTCTCCTCTGCTGCCCAAGTACCTAGCTGAGGACATCCCTGTGGACACCTGGGAACCCCTCTAGAGCCAAGTCCCTTGCCAACCCTAAAATGGCTCCCTTAATTAAGATATCTTCTTCCCTGCTCCCATATCCTCCCTTCCTCCATCTCAACCATCCCATTCCCCCAAGCTCTCCCCCGTCATCCCCTTCTCCCTTCTCTCTTCCCATCTCCCCTTACACCCACCCCACCCTCCTGCTCCCAACTTTTGACTGACAATCTTGTCTGCTTCCAATTTCCAGGAGGATCTATATATGTTTTTCTTTGGGTTCACTTTAGTATTTAGCTTATCTAGGATTGCCAACTATAGGCTCAATGTCCTTTGTTTATGGCTAGAATCCACTTTTCTTTTTTCTCTTTTTTTTTGTTTTTGTTAGCTGTATGTTGCTCTCCGCTTCCCTCTCTTCCTCCCTCCTCCCCTTCTGCCCTCTCCCATGAATCCCAAGCTCCCATAACAAATATTTTTCTATATAAATCATGAATTTGATTTCATCCAAATTTTTAAAAATTTTCAGCATTTTCTAAAAATTAAATGAGAAATCATTTCTTGATGAATATTTACTGTAGAAAATTTTATAATTAAGTAATAAATTCTAACATAATTACTTTGAGAAAATACTGAGGATTTTTGCATTTATATACATGACAATTTCATGCTTGTATTATATTTTATGCAGTATATTATACCATAGTCATACCCCCATCACCTTCCCTTATCCTCTTCCCACTACTGTTCATTCCCCTTCTTCCCAACTAATCCCTTCCTCCTTTTATGTTTCTCTCCCTCCTCCTCTCCCTACATTCTGTCTGTGAGGAGTAGGTCTATATTTTGGCTTTTAAGACAGTCCTACTATGAAGCACAGGCTGGCCTTTAAATACAAACTGTAGGCCAGGGAGATGTTTCAGTGATTCAGATCACTGCTGAGGATCTAAGTTTGATTCCTATCACCCACAAATCCTCACTTATGACTTCAGCTCAGGAGATTTGACACTTTCTTTTGGCCTCAGCATACACAGAAGTAAAAATAAGTCTTAAAAGAAATACAGTCAGACAGTGTGCTGTACAGCTTTATCCCAGCACTCGGAGGTAGAGGCATGCAGACCTCTGTGAGGTTGAGGCCCGCTTGGTCTATAGAGGGAGTTCCTGGACAGGCTCAAAGCTACACAGAGAAACTCTGTCTCAAACAAAAGAAAATAACAACAACAACAGCAACAAAAAGAAATGATTTGTCTTTTGTGTTTGCATAGTCAATTATCTGTATCATATATTATTAAGTATTATTCATTTTTATTTTCTCTTTTTATTATTTTTCAGACTGCCTTGAACTGGCAATCCTATGTTTCAGCCTCTTAAATGTTGTGATTATTGACCTGCACTACCACACTCAACTATATTCTGTCTTTTTTTTTAATCTACTGAAAAACCCAATTTTTGTGAAATTTTAAAGTGAAAACTTATAAAACATAAATTAAAAGTAATGGGAAGTATTAATAAGGATAGAGTAGAAGAAGAGGATCAGATTAAATTGAAAGAGATGAGGCTAAAAGGGGCTTCAGAGTAAACACAAATGTTTTTACTGCATGTGCTAACAGCAATAGTAATAGCTGTGTTTATTGGATACTTAATTGCTATATGCCTGCAATGTGCTTCTATTCATTATGCCATTTAATTTCACAGTAATCTCACATAGTTGTCATGTTATTTATATCTCACAGATGAGAAAACTGAGGAATACAAGTTAAATAAATTGTCAAAGTTCAACAGTGTGCTGTAAACCAGAACTATACTTGTAGTCTGATGCTAGACTTGTTCTTATCATATCTATGCTGTATTGTAAGTTCGTTTGCTTTTAAACCTTTCTGTGTTTTAAATTAAATTATTTATTGTTTCAGCCCCTTAGAGTCAATGGTGTTAAGGTTTATACTGAAAATGTAGACAAAAGACAAATTATTCTGGACCTTCAGATTAGGTAAGTTTTTGTTTGTGTTATATTTTGTCATGGCTACTGACACACAGTGTTCACTTAGCTGTATATATAAGATGGAGGATATAATATGAATTTCTTGTCTGCTTTTCATTGGAATTTAACCAAATTCTTCTAAAATGTTAACAATCTTTGAATTCCTCATAATCTAGATAACCGTCCTTCATTAAATATATTAAATATAACGGGCCTAGAAAGATGTCTCAGTAATTAAGAGCACTTGCTACTCTTCCAGACAGCCTGGGTTTGATTCCCAGCACCCACTTAGCAGCTCACATCTGTAATTCCAGTTCCAGGGAATCCAGTGCCCTCTCTTGGCCTTCATGGGCACCAGGCACACCCCATGGCACACAGACATACATGCAAGCAAAACACCCCATACACATAAAATAAAATAAATTTCTAAAAATGTACTGAATAAAATAAATGAAACTATAATCTAAAAAATAATCTTTATGAACCTTAATATAAAAAATCCTCAACAAAATATTAGCAAATTGCATCTAGTAGCATAGATTATATACCATCAACAAGCAGAATTTATTCCCAGAATGCAAATGTGATTCAGGATATGAAAACCAATCTGGAAAACACACCACTTGATTTTAAGAAGGAACTGGTGTGGTGAGATAACTTTATAGTTATCTCAGTTGATATAGAAGATGGATTTAATGAAATTCAGTATTCTTTCATGATTAAAAAAAAATTCAACCTAGAGAGTTAGACAATACAATGAAATAAAAGGCATCCAAACTGAAAAGCAGTATTTACAAATGATGAGATCTTACAGAAAAAAAAACTCACAAAAAGTTTTAAAATCAGTTGTGATGGCCTACACATTCAAACCCAGCTCTCTGGGAGCAGACTGGCCTACATTCACTTTCTTAGCCCGCCAGGGCTACACAGTGAAACTGTCTTACTTAGGGTTTTTATTGCTGTGACGAGACACCATGACCAGCAAAGAAAATCATTTCATTGGTGTGGCTTAGAGTTCTGAGGTTCAGTCCATGATCATCATGATGGGGAACATGGAGGCATGCAGGCAGTCATGATGTTGGAATAGTAGCTAATAATTGTATATCTTGCAGGCAACAGAAAGTAGATGAAGACACTGGGTGGTATCATGATCGTAGGAAACCTTAAAACCCACCCCCACAGGGGCACACTTCCTCTAATAGAGCCATGCCTACTCCGACAAAGCCACACCTCCTAATAGTGCTATTCCCTATGAGAATTTGGTGCCAGTTACATTCAGACTACCACAGAGACCCTTTCTCAACAAATAAAATATAAAAAGTCATCCCTTAAAGCTAAAATGAATTTAGCCAGGTAGCAAAATGCAGTTAAATTTGTTGCATTTCTGCGTATTAATAATGAAAAAAATACAAAATGAAAATAAGAACAATTTCACTTGTAATAGGTTCAATAGACAGCTCCATTGACCACATGGTTGCTTTTTTTCAGTCCCTAAAGCCCGCTAAGGAAACAAGCGTGGTGGTTAATTTGTAATCCCAGGATCAAGGAAACAGACAAGAGGTTCTCTTATGCTGTGGCCAGCCACACTAGCCTTAATCAGTGAGCCCTAGGCGTCAGTGAAAGATTCTCAAAATAAACAAGGCAGATGGTTGTTAGCAGTTGAATTCCCTTTTTTGAGCCTAGACTACAGATAATTTTTTAATAATTTCCGAGTTTCCAGAGTGTATAAATAATTATATAGACTTTGTATCAGTTATCTATATTATACAGTAAATATACAACTGACAGACCTGCTAGACAAATCCACAAAAATATGATGTTGTGGAAGAGCCATTTTGCAGAGCTGTGGGAGCACCTATCGTTTGGATAAGTCACTGTCAATTCTGTAGAACTCTTGTGAAATTATGATGTTTTCCCCTTCTATAATATCCCAGCAGTGTATAAACCTGACCTTTCCTGTAAGGCTGCTGGATACGTCTCCGTACACCATGAAGCCTTGGTGTGAAAGCATTCACTCAGCCAAACCTTTATCCTTATAACCAAATCTACATAAAACTAATTCCCCATAACTTTATTGACAGGGCTCATTGATGAGAAAGGAGCCCCAAACAGGAGGCATTGAATAGAGAGAGGTATGTCTGCTCTAACAGCAGATGCAGCAAAGTGTAATCTCCTAGCCTGTTGCTCTAACCTGGCAAACTGCTAATATTCTATACTTACCCTTCACCTTTATTTCAATTAACGTAAGATCATAGCCCAGGAAATTAACTCTTTATTAGAGTTAATTGGAAATTAACTATTTATCTAATATATCCTAGAGATATTGGAAAAAAAAAAAAAACCCTGAGTCTCTAAAACCAGCCTCAGAGAGAAAAATTCTCATTTGGGTACCCTGCTGGAGTCGAAAGCAAAGCCTCCAAAGAAACTCTTTTTTAACTCACCAGCTAGGTGCTAAAATAAATCAAGCACCTTGCTTTTCATGGCTACCAAGGCTGTGTTCCCAGCCACCAGGGAAGAAAGCAGAAATGCTCAGAAAATGCAACAGCGCTGCTGCATTTTTCTACAATTAATCATAAACTTCTACACTTAAAATATGTTGTTAGTGCACGAAAACTTCCTAGAATTCTGTAGTGATTTAAAGTCCCATTCTTTTTTTTCTAGACTATATTCTGCTTTTTTATTTTGTTTTATGAGATGAATAAAATTGTAAACCTCTCATTTTAAGAAAAGGGAAAAACAAGGTTCTGAATTGGTACATTCCTTTCCTAGAACTCCCATGCAGCCCGATGACACATTAAAAATAGCTTTTCCTGTTGGCAATGGCCAGTAAACATAGATATGGAAGATGTGATCTGTCTGGTGTCTTAAAAGCTGCTCCAACTTCTGAGAAGAGCACTCTAAAGATTTATCCCCAAATAATACATTTTTGGTAAAAATAGTAGATTTTGACATTCCATGTACTTTTATAGAAACTTGTACTGCAAAAATTTAACTTCAGATACTCTAGAAAATAAAATATGCACAACTCACTTGTTGATTTACTTGTGGCAAAAAGTCTCATTCTTAATCTTTCCAATATCTGCCAGGGAGCTCCACAGCCATGCCGGCTCTGAGACACAAGGCGCCTCCTTGCCAGATCCACTGGTTTTTGTGATTCTATGAAATGCGTGTTTGATGCTATTGTTACCGCCTATGGAATTGCTAAAGTTGTCTGTGTTTATATAAACTGGAAGCCTTGTGGAGAACAGCCCCTTTTCTTCTTCACCCAAGGAATAAACAAGCAGGAGGAGCATGCTTGAGTCGGTTTGTTCTACCGCGCAGGTCCCTTGCCCCAGCCAGGTTTTGCTTGCTATAGACGTCCTGCTCTGGACCCTCAGAGGTTTAATGGGCTTAACACCAAAATATACCTCAATAATTATCTTTTTATTTAAAAAAAAAGGAGCAATGAATGTCTTTGATACGGGGAACTCTTCGTCTTTAAAATATTTGATGCTTGTGCAAATACCATCATCATCAGTGGAATAAAAGAGCTGGCATGGCCTGCAGGCCTGGGTATGAGCTCTATGGTTGTCCACCTGTGTGTGAGGTTAGGCTGTATCCCACAAGATCTGTCCCTGGGGCAAATGATAAGCTTCGTGGGATAGAAACCTTTGCTCGTTCATTGTTCTAGCATTAAACAGATTATTTTAGTTCTTCTTTGAATGAAATGCAGCTTTAGCAGCTTATGTGCTCTGCCATTTGTGTGTTCTAGGTAAAGACCTTAGCTACATTGGCAGCAGGGGAGAGGGGAAGCTGAAAAGAATCGGGAAATAAAGAGAACATGTGCTAGTTTTAAGGCAGGTTATTGGTAAATTTGGCACCAAGTAGAGAATATTCCTCAGTGTGAGGAATCTGTATAATGTATATTAGAAGAATTTTGCTCAAGTGATTAGACCAGTGGTTCTCAACCTCAGGTTTGCTGCCAGTGGAAAACGTGTCCGACGGGCTTAGGTACTGAGAGATACTGCTAAGTAGCAGCATTGCAGTTACGAAGTAGCAACAAAAATAATTTTATGGTTGGAGGTCACTACAAAATGTGGAACTGTATTTTCACAGCATTAGGAAGGTTGAGAACTACAGACTAAGACCCTTCCTGATTTGATTCATAAAATTCCCCAGGTTTATGATACCATACTTCTTATTTTATTTGTTTGGTTTTTTGAGACAGGGCTACACTGTGTTGTGTAGCCTTGGCTGTCCTGGATCCCACTCTGTAGACAGACTGACCTAGAACTCTCAGTGATCCTCTGCCTCCTGAGTGCTATGATACCAACTGCACTTTTAAGAACCAAGGATACAGGTTGTCCTGGCTAGTTTTATGTCAACTTGACACAGGCTAGGGTAATGTGTAAGGAGAGGACCGCAATTGAGAAACCACCGTCATAAGATCAGGCTGTAGGTCATTTTCTTAATTAGTGATTGATTTGGGAGGGACCAGCCCATTATGGGTGGGACCATTCCTGGACTAGTGGTTCTGGGTTCTATAAGAAAACATTATAAGCAAAGCCTACCGGTAAGCAGCACCGCTTCATGGCCTCTACATTGGCTCCTGCCCCCAGGTTCCTTCCCTCAATTCCTTGAATTAACTGTTATATAAAATTGTGATTGAACTAAATCCTTTCCTCCCCAACTTGCTTTTTGGTCATGGTGTTTCATCATAACAATAGTATCCCCAGCTAAGACAGATCAAATCCCACACCATCCCGTGTAGAATGTATTCAATATTTCATGTTTATGTTGGCAATATATAATGCCTGCTTTGCACTGTTATTGTATAGAACTATTTGTTTTATATTTATGTTTGAAACTAATCACTGGGAAAAGTGAAATGTTAACAAGCTGTTTCTAACCTTTAACGTCATAAAGCCCTAAAGCATCTGGATGAGGATTTTTGTGATCAAGAAGAAAGCTGTTGAGATCTACTGCTGGCAAAATAAAGTCTAACCTTTCTTGGGTTTTTAATGAAGATTTTGTTATCCAAATAAAAACATCTTCCATCAAAGAAGTGCTCTACCGGCCCCACCCTTCACGTGGGCAGTTTCAGGAGAACTGGTCCCGGTGGAGTGGGTGCTGGAGAGCGGGAGAACTGGCTCCTGAACAAAGTTGCAGGATCTCCATAACTCAGAACAACAGCAGGCTGTCTGAGAGGGGTCCCAGCGAGGATCCGATATTGGTAGTGTAGCAGAAGCCAGAGGTTTTGAAGCAGACCGGTGACTCATTGCATGAATGTTACAAGTAAAGCTGTTTGGACAGAAAGATATATGGTGTGAACACCCTGACATACCACAGCTTCAGCATTTTTTATCTTCTATTGGGAGGAGGTTTCAAGGGTGGAGCACTGATATGGAAGGACCTGGAAATGAATGGGGTTGGGGTGCATGTTGTGAAATTCACAAAGAATCAATACAAAAATTGGGGGGGGGTGAGTACTCCAGAGATTGCACATTGTTATTTATGTTTTCTTTTGAAACTGGATGTTTGCATGCTTTTAAAATTTTTGTTTTCTGAGATAGGATTTGAGCTCTCTGTAGCTGAGAATGAGGTCATTCTGCTTATACCTTTGAGTGCTAAGAATCCAACATATATTGATACCTGATTTATGTAGGGCTGGATATTAAAAGCCACAGCCTTTTGCATGCTAGACAATCAGTCTACCAAGCATAATTATCTACCTTGTTTTGTGTGGTTTTTTTTGAAACAGGGTCTTACACAGTAGTCCTCCAGCTTCAGCCTCCCATGTGTTGGATATCTAAATTTAATTAAGATTTTTATGTGTAGCAAAAGCACGAGCATATGGACAATATTCCTCTCAGGTGATACAGCAGTGTTGAAACCTGGCAGTAATATATCCATTCAACCTGGAGTGGCGGAGTTGTCTTGTAGTATAGGCTACATCTTTCAGTCAGCTTTGCCTACAGTATGAGTGTGGCTACTTTACCCCAATCTGTCTGGTTATGTGCTTTGCAATGTCTAATCTTAATAGATAGCAAAGAGGATAATTAATTTCACTCACTGTGTGTAATGAAAGATTTTTTCTGTGCTAGTTTTGTAGGGAATTGTGAGATTGATTTGGAGATTAAACGATACTTCTGTAGAGCTGGTGTGAAAAGTATTCAGGTAAGTTTTTCAAATTTTCATTTTTAGAGTTTTTAAGGATATATTCAGAAAAAGAAGCTATGGAGTTTTATTAAGTATGAAGTTTTGAAGTAAGTTTGCATTTGTGCTTATAGCTGAGTAAAGTGTCAAGCCATGTGTTAAACAGTCACCAAGTGGCCTTGATGAATTATGTTTCCTGACTTGTGATTTCATATGTGAGTTCAGATTCATGGGACCATGCGAGTGATCCTGGAGCCCCTGATTGGAGACATGCCTCTAGTTGGAGCTTTGTCCATCTTCTTCCTTAGGAAGCCAGTAAGTAGTCATTTCATGATATCATGTTTCTCTTCCCTCTCTTGGCAGTAACATGCATATACAGGCGGATAAAGTTAAAGAACACGATTCTGTCCTTAACTCTTCCCTGAGTGTTTCACTTCTTTGTGCCTTAAGTAAGGGTGTGATCCTTTATAGTCTTCCCTTAATATAGAAATGTCTGTTTATGGAGTTGTGGAAAGAAATTTTTAACTAAATAAATTGAAGCTACCTTTGACCTGTCACTAAGGACGATTTTATAGCATTTGTGTATTTAATCCTCCTACTTGTAAAACTAGATACTGTTTCCTTTTACTGACCTGGAACTGAACTTACGAGGTCTATCTGTATGAGTCACCCAGAGATTAAGTACTGGAGCTCTGACATAGATCCCCGTTAGTCCGAACAGACTTCTCTCTCCAACTGCCCTTCTGAGATAAGTGTGTTTTCTTCTCTGGGGCGGGGGTGTATTTGATGGACTAGAGGTACAGCTTTGTGTGTTCTGCCTGTAATTGGAATTGTTGCTTGGTCTTCTAGTCCTTGCCTAAGGATTATGTTGTCACTTCATATTTTTAGATTATATTTCTTTTGTTATTATTGTAAATGCTCTAAAACAAAAAGGAAGCTATTTCTTAATTATCAGACAGACTTCTTCCTCCTTACCCAAGCTCCTGCAGCCTATGGTTAGTACTATCTTCAGTGCCTTTTTTTTCTTTAAATGCTAGGAATTGAACCCAGAGCTTTGTGTGTGCTAAGTAAGCATTCGGCCTGCATTCGAAGCCCCAGCTCCCCTATCCTAACCACATTTCTCACTACTGCCTGCTGTGCACCAGCTGCAGAGATGGAATGTCTAATGGGGGAAATGTTAACCATGTCTTTTCCTCTTTAATTTTTATCCTTTTCTCCGGCTGTCTTAAGCTGTTTTACTCAATTTATTTCTAGAAGATTTCTGTCTGTCTTCCAAGACAAGTTGCCACTGTAGTATTGAAAGTTGTATGGCAGGAGCAGTTAATGCTACAGTGAAGGGCAGTTGTGTCTCCACAGTTCAGGGAGGCTTAGTGAGCTGCCTTCTAAGAGGGACACTGCCTATGATCCTTGGCAAGTCTTGTGGGAAGGTACTACTAACATCATGCGTAATTTAAGATGGAAGGGACATTGTGTATAATTTGGCTGAAAAGACTTAATGAAAATTATTACTTGATTTTGAAGTGTTATATGGAAGCTGCTTCCTCTGCATGAAAATGCATCTGTTGCCTCCAGCACTATTGTTCCACTTTCTGATTTTTAATGTGTTTAAATAGACCATTTGCATTAAAATTCAAAAAACTATCAAGGAATCTATTCATTTTTACTTTATTGAATTTTTGAGAAATAAGTTCACAGATTTAAAATACATCTTTTTTTCTCCTATCAGTTTTTTTTAAAGCCAGTTTATGTAAGAACTGATTCCATTTATGGCCATTTTAAAAGTTCTTTAATAAACTGCTAAAAAGTTTAATATTTTTGTCTTTGGAAATATTCTTAATATAAAGATCCTCTCCCCTGGTCTGTGTCTTCCTCACAGCATAGCAGTGCTCTCTCATGGTTGGGTTCTTCCACCAATGAAGTCACTTTTTAAAAAGACTTACAGTATAACTCCCAGAGGGCATTTGAATGCCTAGAACAGAAGGATGAAATATCAGAATCACCCTTTTCCATATATGGTAAATGAAACCACTGAACATGCTTTAGAGGGAAGGGAGTTTTTTCAGTTACTTTCAACTGGAAAATATGAGAACTTACTACTGTTAGCTGCCAAATAATTCTTCCTGAGCCTGATGAAAAATATAACCAAAAGGGCTTTTTTGTTTTACTTTTTTTTAACTGCCCAAATGATTCAGAGACTAGTACCAGAGATTTGTATAAAACACTTACATGTTTTTCTGCTTGCTGATTGTTTAATTAGTTTTGATAATATGGTTCTTATTGTGGAGGGAACCCTAAACATTCTTGACACGATGAAGTTTGAAGTCAAGGGAACAGTCCTCGTGGAACATTGGTGGGACGCTGTGGGGACAGAGATCAGCGCGGTATGGGTGCCAGTGGTGACTTTGCCTGGTGTCCTTGTCTTCTTGCTGTGACAGCAGCCCATGCCATCTCTCTAAGTCCCAGTTCCTGTCTGTAGCATGAGTGACACTAAGTCTAGGTCACGATGTGCTTGCTGTTAGAAACGTAGTACAGTGACTGGCACACAGTAAAAAGGTAAATATAGGCTTAGCATTTTAGTGAAGTTCTGACGCTACGGAGGTGCTAGAGTAAGGAGGAAAATGTGGAGAAGTGTTCTGATAGCCAGTAGGGATGAAGCTCAGTGCTGCAGTTCCTTGCCTACCATGTGTCAGGCCATAGATTTGAATCCTAGGAGTGAAAGACTAAAAAAGTTCTGATAACCAAAGGGAGGGCTAGGAAGATGACTTAGTGGAGCTTGCTGTGTACTTCACTGAGGTAAGGACCTGATCCCAGTTGCCCAGAACCAGTGTTAAAAACCCAGGGCTGGGAGTTGGGGGGACTGACAGGAATTTTTCCAGAGCTTATTGGCCAGCTGGTCTAGAAAGTTGGTAACCTCTGTGTCAGTTAGAGACCTTGTCTTACAAGTGGAGAGCAATACAGGAACGCACATAATGTTGACCTCTCTCCTACACACATAGGCACATGTGCTCATGTATCCATAAAAGTGCATCCCAAATAATAATTTAGAACCAGAGAACTCCTTTCTGTTATTGGACGTGTACAGGGCACTCAATCTCACTAAGTAGTTTTTGATATGTTGAAAGCATACATTCTGTATGGCTTGTGCCAATGCAAAAAAAAAAAAATACAACTCTTAAATCAAAGGGGATAAAAGCTAGTTTTGTTTTAGAGTCAACTATGAATGGCCTTGGCCTGGGAACACAGATTTAGTTTACCCCAGAGTCCATGTTCCACATGTGGTAGCAGTTTGAAAAAGTTTATATAGTGACAGAACTAATAAATCAAAGCATTTTTCAGGTATTTGGTGTGTGTGTGTGTGTGTGTGTGTGTGTGTTGCTGTGTGTGCCCTGCACATGAGTGCACATGGCACACATGTCAAAAATCAAAGGGCAACTTATTGTCTCCTGCATAGGTCCTAAGAATTGAACTGAGGTCATATTTACATGTTTACACTCTGAGCCGTCTTGATGATGCATCTCTATGGCTTTAATAAAATTGTACACATTTTGTTGTTCCGGGTAAAACATGGCTTTCTTTCATAACCATGAACCACGTTGTCTGTTGTGCTTCTGCCACAGCTCAGAAATGACTTCCTGTGTTTAGAAACATTCCACTTATGCCTTAGTCTCCTGAAATTGAGATCTTAGTCATCCAGAGGCCCTGGTTCTCTTATCCTAACACCAGTCTTTAGGGAGGTCAGGAGGGACTAAATCATTTTAGTTGCCTTTCCAAGAATGCTTTCCAAGGGGTTTCCACGATTGCATTCCTCCTGCAGTTTTCCCTGTGTCATTATGCACTCACTGTCTCACATACTCACTCACGCTGTTATATAGACCTGCTTATTTCACACTTGTCTCACTCGTCCCCACAAACACTGGCACCTTCACAACTGATCTTTATTACATACTTTGGTAATTTGAATGAGAATGACCCTCATACTCATAGGCTCATATTTGAATGGTTTCTCAGATTGGTAGAGCTGTTTAGGAAGGATTAGGAGGTGTGACTTCGTTGGAGGAGGTGTGCCATTTGAGGGTGGACTTTGAGGTTCCAAAAGCTCACACCATTCCCATTTAGCTTTCTCTGTAGTTCAGGGTGTAAACTCGGAGCTGCTCTCGAGCTCGCTCCATGCCTGTCTACCTGCTCATGCTACCTGCCATGATGGTCCTGAATTGTGCAAAACAGAGACTTTTAATGCCATTTAATCTTTTGGAAGTAGGAAGACTTCTTTAAGACTATTAGTAGTTTGTCTTCAGAGATTTTTTTTTCTATAGGTGCCTATAAGCAAAGCATTTTTTTAATTTATTTTTTGTTTAAACTCAGAACATTACCAACTTTATTGCATTCATAAATTTTCCTATACTGTGAATCATACATTTGCTAAGTGAACTAGGACAATCAGAAGTATTTGCACAGTTCTAGAAATAATGTGTGGCTTTTTTGCAGTGTGAGTTTGTTTATATATTAACGATGATAGTAGAAAACCAATTATTTATATAGTTGAATCAAATTGAACAAGTATACTCAACATGGGGGCTACTGCTTATTTTCTAATTGTTCTTAGAGATAGGTATGCTTTATTTTCTCATATTTCTATGCTCATAGGCTTATATCAAGAGTAATATGTGGTATACATAGTAAAGGAAGAATAACAAATAAAAGATTTCCACATTGAATTCTCAGGGTTTAACTTTCTGTTCCTCGTAGATGTGTGGTATAGGTATTAATATTTCTTTACAATAACTGTCCCTTGACTCTAACTGCTCCTGTCACTAAACTTAATCTAGTAATAAGAAGTATATGAGTAATACAAGATTTACTATGGGCTCTTGGTTTAGTAGAAAGTTTTGCAGATACACTTATAATCACTTCAAAGTGTATACATTTTGTATTGTGAATAACAAGAAATAAATGGATTGGCAAATCAACAGCATAGCTCTCATGGTGCTATGATTCAGATTGTGATATCCGTTTAGCTATTCCTTATTTGACTTCTTTTTATTGATTTTTATTGAGCTCTACATTTTTCTCTGCTCCCCTCCCTGCCTCTCCCCTCCCGTTCAACCCTCTCCTAAGGTCCCCATGCTCCCAACTTACTCAGGAGATCTTGTCTTTTTCTACCTTCCTTGTAGATTAGATCTATGTATGTCTCTCTTAGTGTCCTCATTGTTGTCTAAGTTCTCTGGGATTGTGATTCGTGGACTGGTTTTCTTTGCTTTATGTTTAAAAACCACTTATGAGTGAGTACATGTGATAATTGTCTTTCTGGGTCTGGGTTACCTCACTCAAAATGACGTTTTCTAGCACCATTCATGCCTGCAAAATTCAATATGTCATTATTTTTTTGGCTGTGTAGTACTCCATTGTGTAAAAGTACCATATTTTCCTTATCCATTCTTCAGTCAAGGGGCATTTAGGTTGTTTCCAGGTTTTGGCTATGACAAGCAAAGCTGCTATGAACATAGTTGAGCACATGTCCTTGTGGCACAATTGAGCATCCTTTGGATATATACATAAAAGTAGTAAGAGTAGTATTATTGGGTCTTGAGGAAAGTTGTTTTCCTACTTTTCTGAGAAATCGCCACACTGACATCCACAGGGGCTGTACCAGCTTGCATTCCCACCAGCAATGCAGAAGTGTTCACTTTTTCCCACAACCTCTCCAGCATAAGTTGTCCTCAGTGTCTTTGATCTTGGCCTTTCTTACATGTGTAAGATGGAATCTCAGAGTTGTTTTTGATAAACATAGCATTTAAAATGTTCTTTTCTGGGGGCTGGAGAGATGGCTCAGCCGTTAAGAGCACTGCCTGCTCTTCCAAAGGTCCTGAGTTCAATCCCTGGCAACCACATGGTGGCTCACAACCATCTGTAATGAGATCTGGCGCCCTCTTCTGGCCTGCAGGCATACACACAGACAGAATATTGTATACATAATAAATAAAATATTTAAAAAAAATATTCTTTTCTGGAGATGTATTTGCCAGTTGTGTTTATTTCACTTAGGTACTAACAACAGGTTGGTGTTTTAGTGCCATGTTAGGGCCTTTACAGTCTTAAGTCATAGCTGCTAAATATAAGCTGGTAACATTCACGTATGTCTGTTCAAACAGAAGCACACGCTTTTGGAGGGGAAGACAGGGTCTCTGTGTAGTTGAAACTGGAATCAAACTCACTCTGTCAGCCAGGCTTGTCTTAAGTTGAAACAATCCTTAGCTTCCCAGGTGCTAGGGAATCCCATCTAGGTCCTCATCCATGCTCTACCATTGAGCTTCACTTCTAGCTCAGAGTCATACTTTCAAAAATAAAACAAGTATTTTATTTACAAAATTAGTAAGAAAGAGACAGCATTGCTTTGTTGCCTAGACTGGTTCTGAATTTTAAACTCAAGCAAGTCTCCTGCTTCAACCTCACAAGTAACCAAGATTCAAAGCACATTGCACTGAAAATGATGTTATATAGCACATTTATGTTGTAGTAGATTTCTTTGTTTTTCAAGACAGGGTTTCTCTGTGTAGCAGCTTTGGAGCTTGCCCTGAAACTTGATCTGTAGACCAGGCTGGCCTTGCACTCACAAAGATCTACCTGCCTCTGCCTCCCAAGTGCTGGAATTAAAGGTGTGTGCCACTACCGCCCGGCTTATAATCGATCTCTTGAACTAACCGTGGACATGTCTTATACCCTTGCCAGTCTTGCTGAGGAATAGCAGTGCATATGGGGGAAAGTTGAAGAACTGATGAATCATTGCAACTAGGCAGAGAAATTTTTTTTTGTTTTGAGTTGTTATTTTGGTAAAATAAGTAGGATATCAAAGCTGATACTGGGAGTGGCTTTCAGATTATTGCATGGAATAATGTGTAATATAAGGAAGGGGTCTGAAGATCAAAACTGGATGGAGAGTCCTGACTCCTAGACTTGCTCTGTAGACCAGGTTGGCCTTGAATCAAAGATCCACCTGCCTCCTATCTCCCCAGTGCTGGGATTAAAGGCATGTGCCACCATGTCTAGTATTCTAGGTTTTCTAGTAAGATCAGAATATTTTTGCTGGGGTAGGGAGATCCTTCTCCCTTTAAGTGAGCATATTTATTCATGCTGGGTTTGGTGGTGCATGTCTTTCATCCCAGCACTTGGGAGATAGAGACAAGCCAATCTCTGTGAAGTCTAAGGCCAGCCTGGTTGTCATAGTAAGTTATAAGTCAGCCAAGGCTATGTAGTGAATTCTATCTCAAATAAACGAAGAAATAACAAAGACAAACTAACAAAACATAGAATATTCACTGAATGTTAATTTATCATAAAGAAGAAATTGGAGAATATTTTCAGGATCCAACCATAGGAGGATGGGCAAACAAATTATATATGTTTTTAGTAGAGAAAATTATGGCATTATCAAAAAGTAAAAACTGAGGCAGGTCTTCATGTGCAGTGAAAGAAAGCTGTCTTTGATGTATTACCCCTTGGGAAATGGTGGGTATCACACTTACTTCATTTACACAAACCTGTTTGTATTTGCTGTGATACCTGGAAATATTTCAGATGTTTAATCCTTTTCCTTCTTTTTAAAAAACAGCTTTTAGAGATTAACTGGACAGGATTGACTAATCTCCTGGACATCCCTGGACTGAAGTAAGTCTTGTCGATGTGACTGCAGTGGCTGCTGAGGAGAGTTTGCCTCTCCTCACATTTATTCTTGAGAGAGTGGGTCACAATGGAACCTAGATGTGAAGTTTCTAAACCAAAGCAGTGGAAGCTCTTTTCCATTCAATAACAACTTAATGAATAATAAACAAGGAAATTGTCCTATAACGGACACCTGAGTCACCAAGTGTCCATTCCCCTGTGGGAGGGTTAGATGAGTCACTGTCTGTGTGTCTGAAATGGTAGATTAGGACAGAGTGCACTCTGTCCTACAAAACTTCCTTTTTTGTTCTTTTGATTATTTTGTTTGAAGTTTAAAAAACATGACTTATTAGTTACTAGTTACATTTATTTCTAGTGGCTATTTTGCTAATCTTTGGGTTTAAAATCCTTAAATAGCTTACAAATTCAATTCCAAAACTTTGATTTCAGACTATTTTTTTCTATTTCCGTACACTTGTTTATGCCTCTGAAATGACTGCAAAAACCAAGTTTTGTTTCATTCTCAGTTAAAAAAGATAGCAGCTTTAATAATCTGAAACAAGTCACAAGTAAAATATCCATGGTTTACCAGGTTAATAAAAGTAGTGTTATCTGTGGATAAGAAAGTACAACTTTGAAAGGTTTCTTGGTAAGTTCATTAGAATCTTGATTATAAACAAAATACTGATTTAAATTGACACTTTTAAATCTTTTGCTGGGGATTAAACTCAGGACTTCTTTTTTCGGGCCTGAGGGTGGTCTCGAGACAGGGTTTCTCTGTGTAACTGCCCTAGCTGTCCTGAAACTAGCTCTTGTGGACCAGGCTAACCTCAAACTCACAGAGATCCACCTACCTCTGTCTCACGAGTGCTGGGGTTAAAGGCATGCACCACCACTGCCCAGCTGAAACTCAGGATTTTGTATTTGCTAAACTACATTATACCTCTAGCTACACACCCAGCTCTCCAAATGATAATTTTCAAAATAATAATAATTCAGTGTGTAAATAACACCTTTAAAATTCAGTACTGTCACTCAACCGAAATTGGGTATTACACGCCTGCTCTAACCCGACCACTGTTCTTAGCACTTGGACATAGATGGGAATAGCATTCCCACAGCTTTTCTCAGAGAGCTTAGTCTGCAGATGCCTTTGCAGCTCCCAGAGCATTCTTGTGGGATGTTAGGCTCAGGTAGGTGTTGATGCCAAATGATGCACACTGTTCATACAGCCTGCAGGTGATTCCTTGAGCTTGTCTTCAGATGGATTGGACAGGGTGGGCCCTGTGATTTTAACAGCCAGAAGAAGTCAAGGAATGTTCAATTATGTAGACACCATGACCCCCAACTCATGAATGATGTAGCTGTATCCCACATAAAGGGAGAACTTTCTCTGGAAATAGCAGTGCTTGCTGGATTTTGTTAGTCCGCCATAAGCAACAGGTGATTGATCTCACTTTACAAAGCAAGATAGAAGGCATCTGAAAAACAATACCAAATGTTGACCTCTTTTCACCACATGAAGGCACATGCACAAATATGCACACATACCTGTATGCGCGCACGCACACACACACACACACACACACACACAAATACATGCTTATATATATGACACATACAGAGATAAATATGCATACATTGTTAAAAGTAAGCTATCTATGGCATAGTGGCAATATATATAAATATCCTTCAAAATAAGATGACATATTTAGATATACTATATATAACTTATATGTAATTATATATATTTTATAAAATATAGTATTCTCTGTGATATATATTTTATGTAATAAAAAATAAAATTGGACTGTGTAATAGGAAATCACACAAAGATTTTCTATTAAGCCTGATAGAGTAGTATATACCTGCCAGGAATCCCAGTGCTTGGGAGGTAGGGACAGGAAGATCAGAAGTTCAGTGCCATCTTTGACTACATAGCAGATTTGAGGCAAGCTCTCCCTATGTGAGAACCATATCTTAAAAAGATTTTCTGTTGCATATATCAAGTATAGAGCAAACCTTGTGTTAAAAATATTCAAAAAAGATACTATTTAATAACAGAGCCTGATATAATGAACTTAAGACTTTGCAAGATAAGCATATATGTTGTATTCATGGGCTACAAAAAGAATTGGAGTCATTACAAAGTAAAAATAATGTCTAAATCAGTTCACTGTGAAAACTATTTTTGTTGTCATGCTATAAAACTCCTGTTAGGTTTCAGTGAAGAGCTTATTCTACACAGAGAATATGGAAAAGGGCAAAGGTCAGGGTCAGGAGAGGCAGAAGTCAGTGGTACGAGCAGGAACAGTGCTGAAAGCCAGGTTTGGATACCAATGCCTGCACAAGAAGTTGTCGACGGTTGGATGGATGCTGTGTAGGGGCCTGGGAGCAGTGTCCACACCTAATAGTACAGTGAGCCTGCCTGGGATGTTGGCCACAGTTACTTCTGGGATCACTGTCTTCTAAGCATAGTAGTGCCAGCAGGAAGGCAAGTGCTATGTTATCCCAGCAGTGAGGAGTGAGATTCTTCAGGACTTCAGTTAGGAAGGGGTCTCTGTTTCAGCAGGTATTTCAGTATAAACAAAACAATCACTTTGAGAGGAAATGCTGAAGGTAAGAAGGAGTTGACATTGGCTGTGTAGGATCCTCTAGCTCCTTACAGAAGAGCAGGCGCACAGCACCTGCTGCTCAAGCGTTTTACGTCTCTTTAGAAGTGTTAATAGCAAAGATGACTGGCTCCATGCCGATAGGAAGATTGGCGCTGTGTGTGACCGAGTCCTTTCCTTTTATTAAACCGAAAGGTCCGCATCTTGTTACCACATGTGGATCACTTTTGCTTAAGTGATTATGATGGCAGAGGACGTGTTTGCATGTGTAATTGTGTATATTTGCTAGTAACTTAACACCAGACAGTACTGGCAGTAATCATTCTTTTTTAAAACTCAGGGTTCTAGTAAAAATTTTTAGAGTAAGGAAGCTTGCATGGATATGTCTCCAAAAGTATTGTTATATATGCATTGTTTAATTCTCACATCTACCTTAGAAAACAGGTAAAGATAGATACAAAATGCTTTCCTGTAGTCTTTTATTTATATCACTGAGTTTGTTATGCAGTGTTATAATAGATCAAAATTATTGAAGTATTCAGAATGAAGAAAAACAACCAAATTATTTTACTTCATTTGAAACAATATACAACAGCAAAGAAATAATATATGCATAAACATGAAATGGGTTTGTGAATGTTTACTGTGTTATTCTCTATGCTTTTATATATATTTGAAATGTTTATGTTAAAACAAATGTAAAGAAATGTAATTTAACTATGTTTAAGTCATGTAGGGATATTTGAAAAATTGTTCATTAAATTATGAAATGGAGCTAGAATTTTATGTAGTATTACAGAAAAATTCTGCTTCATAGTTACAATAGCAGTGTAGTTGAAACATTAAAATATTGCCTCTAAGTACTATTCTGGGAAAGTTAGGGAACTCCAATCCCCTACATGGCTATAGGATCAAAGTTGTACATGTTTTTATATATATTATTCTTTGTCTCTCAACTAACAGTGGTTTATCTGATACTATCATTTTGGATATAATATCAAATTATCTGGTGCTTCCCAATCGAATCACTGTTCCTCTTGTCAGTGAAGTTCAAATAGCGCAGTTGCGGTTTCCCATACCAAAGGTAAGCATGCTTTTGTATTCACTAGAATTAAATACTTACCACGACCTTTTAAGCACAAGGTGTTTTTGTTTGGTTGGTTTTTATTTGTTGTTTTGTTTTGCTTTGTTTTTAGACAGGGTTTCTCTGTGTCGCCCTGGCTATCCTGGAACTTATTTTGTAGACCAGCTAGCTTCAAACTCACAGAGATCCCTTTGCCTCTGCCTCCCAAGTTCTGCGATTAAAAGTGTTCTACCACCACCTGGCCTAACCACAGTTAGTGTGTTAATCTTTAGACTTTCTTTTGTCTTTCTAAACAGCTGTGTTGCCATTTGTGTTAATACATTGGTAGCTGCCCTGCATTCCCTCAGAGATGTGTTAGGGAGCCTCTGACCCTAAGGCTGTTCAGAGACTTAGAAGTTCTTATTCTTCAGTCATCCCCCTTCAGGGTATCACTAGGGCTCAGTTCTACAAATATAATCACAAGTCGTAAAGATAGCAGTGAACAGCCGGCAAAAGTCATCTCAAAAGGTATATGCTATATGTGTTTTTATGGAGATTTAATCATTCTCAACAACAAGTGAAATGAGAGTGCTGATACAATAAAAATTCTGATATGACATGGGAATGTGATTATTTCTGGAATTTCATAGTGTATAAGGTGACTGTCTTAGTCATTGAAGTTAGAATTGCTGTATAGAGTCACTGTGACCATGGCAACTGTTATAAAGGAGAACACTTCACTGGGGCTTGCTTATAGGTCAGAGGTTTAGTCCATTATCAGCATGTCAGGGAGCTTGGTGGCACATGGACAGACATGGTGCTGGAGGAGGAGCCGAGAGTTCTACATCTGGATCTGTAGGCAGCAGGAAGAGAGAACCACTGAGGCTGGTTTGGAGTTCTGAAACCCACAGCCTACCCCTAGTGACATATTTCCTCTAACAAGGCCACACCTCTTAATTCTCAAATAGTGCTACTCCCTAAACATTTAAATATACAAACCTATGGGAGCCATTCTTATTCAAACTACCACAGTGACAGAAGAGGTACATGTGTAACAGCTGTACTGAATGAAAAAGAAAGCAGAACTCTTGAACTTGAGGTATTTATGGCTGGACCTCAGTTTCAGCTTCTATGTAATGTGGAGCATAGAACTGGGTCATATGTCTATGGAGTCACCTTGAGTAGACAGAACCACTGTAGGCAAAAGTGAGACATATCTCTTGTCATTAGAGATTCAGTTCTAATTTGTTCGTTGTGGATCCACAGAGGTCAAGAAAATAGTAGTATTGTGGATTGTCTACAATAAAGAATAATACTGATACATTCTATACATTCTGTCTATACACTCTATCCTAGAATGTATACATTCTAGTTGTACTAAAACAAGAGGGAAGGTGGTGCCATTTTAATGGGTGTGTTGTTTCCATTTTTATTTCTGAAATGAAAATAGCATTGCCTCAATGCCCTTATTTTCTCACTTAGATTTGAACAATACAAAAATTGGCAAACACGCATGACCATACATGCATAGACACACACATACACACACACACACACACACACACACACACATTGTATATATATTAGTTGTTTTTTTTTTTTTTGAACCTCTCTCTGATGCTGAGGCTTAAACCCAGGACCTATGTTCTAGCCTATTCCTTTTTTTTTTTTTTTAAAGAAAGCACACTTCATTTAATTTGATGATAAACTTTTAATGTTCACATTTAACAGATTTGATACTCTACATATAAAAAGGAGAACTCTTTCTTCTAAGATACAGGAGCCTCTCTTGTATTAAGTACAATAAGCACTGGAGCCAGCTTGGATCAACTACCTTTGTTTTCTGAACTTAAAACCAATGTTGGGAAAAGATGTGGTCACATCGTCTTAGCTGTAGCCATATGAAACTACAGACAAGAATCTTTTAGTGCTTTCTAAAGTGTATTCATCTTCAGAGAAGTTTGTCTTGTCCTGACAAGCCAGAAATGTTAGCCTGTAATTTTTTAAGCATTTGGTGGAAGAGTATTATTATCCCACCAAACTTTTATTTGTCATAAATGAAATGAGTAAATATTTTTCTCCTATAAATAAGACAACTTTTGAAAAGAACTTTTTATTTTTGATGAGTACTTCATATTTCAAAGTTTCAGTGTCTCCTCTACAAAGTAGGCCCAATGATAGTGTTTCATAGAATTGGTCTAAAAATTGAATAGCATGGTTACTAAAAAGAAGTGCTTAGTAGCAGGTCTGATATACCCTACATGTTAATTATTACCTACTTAGTCCCAGAATGTAAGGATTTTGGCTGAGCCTTGTGGCCTTGTTATTGACTTCCTGGGACCTCTACAGTCACTGTTCCCTCTACCAAGAATGTTCAAGGCTCTCTGCAGGCAGCTGTGTAGCTCACTGCATTTCTGCTGTGGAGTCCTCACCCATAAACAGTCCTACTGTTTAGTGGGATAACATACTGTCTTCCCTTAATACTTGCTTTCTGAGTACTTGTCCCAGCTGAACTGCCACAGTCCCTGCTGGGGTATACACTGTGTATCTTCCATTGAACTGCCACAGTCCCTGCTGGGGTATGCACTGTGTGT